AAATATTTATGCTTTCTTTTTGAGAGAGAACCGTAACCGAAGTTGGGTAAACTGTAAATTGGGAAAGAAAAAAAAGTTTGAAGTGGTGGAGGTGAAGGCGAAGGTACGGAGGGAAATGAGGAAACGACGAATAGATTTTAGGTTATAATAGAAAAAATGCAAGCAACTTGAAATACTATTCTTTTATACTTACTTCCTCCTTTTTCATTACTTATATTCAATTTAAACAACAAAATTCTTTCACCTATATTAGTGGTATTAATATCAGTCAGTATATTTCCCCTATTTCATTTTCAAAATTTTTTAAACTCTTTGAACGTACTTTTTTGTTGGTTTCTTTTTTTTTTCTTTGAAACCCAAATATGCTTCTTTTTTTTGCTTACTAATTGAAATTTTTTGCTCTGTTTTAATAGTTCGCTTTGATTGTTTTCAATTCTATAAGGAAGGAATTTGGAAGAAATTATAACAATGGTTGTTGTTTGTCGACGTCGGTTTATTGACTTTTTCTTTCATTTTTCATTTTCTTGGTCAAATAAAGTGTACGGATAGGGGTGTTGTTGCATTTTTACAATGATCAATAGTGCTGAAGATTACAAAAGGTTTAGTGTTGCATTATCAGATGTGATGCAAATATGGAGCAAAATAGAAATCGAATGTTTTGTACAGAATCACTTACCGTTGAGTTTTCTTTTTTTTTCCTTGAAAAAGGTTTTACAGAAGATTACTTTTCAAAATTTTTGTACAAAGCATCAAGGAACTGAATTTTTTTTTTTACCGAATATATTATTAGGTTAATGTGATTGTATTCTGTTATCAATATTATTAATCAGTTAGCGAACAAAAAGAAAAGCGACAACGAATGCTTTGTTTCTTTTGGTTTCGATAATATTTCAGGTCTTTTTTTTTCGCTTCTTTTCGCTTCTTCTATTGTCATTTGAAGTGTTTATAGTTTGCTAAAGGGTTTACAAAGCTTTTTCTTTTGGTTTCAAATTCCTCCACCTTTTTCTTGTACTTTTTTTCTGTTTACTATTTATTTATTAATTTTTTTTTTGTGGCATCTGTTATTACACAGAAAAAAAAATTTTTTTTTTTTTTTGAATATTGGCTGATATATCCTTGGCAGTTTTTTTTTTTTTTACCGACTGTCAATCATTCACAGTGATTTCAGTCTTTTTTTTCCTCTTTTATTTTGTCTTTTTATTGTCACTACCGTTCATTCAGAGAGAAGAAAAATTGGAAACTTTTAAGCAACTCATTTACTGAAAATTTTTCATTTTCCATACTTTTTTTTTTCGTTCAAATTCTTATACAGCTTTTCTTATGAAATTATAAATGTTTTAAGTACAGAAGTATCGCAGATTCCCCCTTTTTTTTTTCGGTTATTTTCTCTACTAAACCAATGATGAACAAAAAATTTTGATGGATTCTGTAATGGTTGATCTGTATGATAGTGCTTAAAAATTTGTTACTGTATACAGTTTACCGTAATGAAACCTTTTGGTCAAGTTGTATTTCTGTTTTTTTTTTTTTGTACTTTCTGTTGCTGTTACCATACTGCTCAATGGCGCTTCTGTTGCTTCGTCGATGGCTTCTTCTCCGACTCCATTCGTTGTTTTGTTCTTCTGTTCACTCACTGTTCATTAGTTTAATTGGTTTGCTTACATCAATTAAAACTGGCAGCTTCAAAAGCTTAAAAAGAAGGAATATTTTATTACGCAAAAGAAAAAAAAAAAAACACCAGCTAAATAAAAGATTTTTTTTTTTGAGCGAATAATTAAAATTGAAAATTATTTATTGTTATTATTATTATTAGTTTGTGGTTTTCATAATTTTGGATAAAAAAAAAAAAAATGTGTAAAAAAAATATCGGGGAAAGTGAAAATATTGCAAATATCTAAGAAATTGTTAACAGATTGTGCGGCTGTCAGTTATGCTGATCAGTAGTTTTGTCGATAAATATTGAGAAGACAAATAAAAAGAAAAAACAAATAATATTTTCTTTTCTAATCATTGATTATCGGTGAGTATTGTTTCTGATCTTTTCTTTCTTTTTTAACTATTATTCATTATAAATTTTTTAACTTCTTATTAGTCCTTTTTTTTTTGATTCATTTAACTATTCTTTTTCTGCTCTGTTTTTATTTTTGTCAATTTTTTTCTACAGTTTTTTATTGGTTCAAAAAAGTAAAGAAAATAATATGAACAAATGCTCTTTCTGCTTCGTTATTCATGTTTCGTTCCAGAAAAATTAAACTTGAAACATTGGCGTCAACTTTGACACCTGGCATCATTTTGACTTTTTAAGGCAACACTTCAATAAACGGTAGCGACTATTTTAGCGTTACTTTTTTTTTGATGCCAACTGTTTCAAAGTTTTTAAAGTTTGTTTTTGAAAAGTGTAAGAAATGTCGTTTTTGGAAAAGAAAAGTAGAAAAAAAAAAAAAAAAAAAA